GTCGACCTGGAGAAAGAGAGACTGAGGATCACTGCGGTGCATCTAAAAGAACAGCACAGGGTTCAGAAGACCTCAGCTGTTTGCTGTGCAATCCCCTGGGGACCAAAACCAGCCCAACATCCCGTTTCCATTGGGTGAACCAAACAAGAGCCAATGATGAGAACACAAGGGGAGGAGAGAGAAGAGAGGATGGTCCAAGAGGCAATGCTTCTGAAAACTGGAGTCCTAAAAGCTTAGCCTAAGTTGGAGAAAACAGTGAACTGAATTTCCTAGCATCACAGTAACTAGCAGGTCTCAGTTCTGCTACTTACCATCTGGGACAGCCTAGAGGAGCATCCCTATAAAACAAGGACTAGGAAAAATAAACTAATGGGACTACGACAAACTAAAAAGTTTTTGTACAGTAAAGGAAACCATCAACAAAACAAAAAGGCAATCGACTGACTGGAAGAAGATATTAATTAATGATACGTCTGATAAGAGGTAAATATCCAAAATATATAAAGAACTGATACAACTCAATAGCAAAAAAATTAAACAATTCAATTAAAAAATGGGCAGAAGACCTGAACAGATACTTCTCCAAAGAGGAAATACAGATGGCCAACACACATATGAAAATATGCTCAAGGTCACTAATTGTCAGAGAAATGCAAATTAAAGCCACAATGAGATATCATATCACCTGACATCTGTCAGAATGGCTACCATCAACGAATCAAAGAACAACAAGTGTTGGCAAGGATGCGGAGAAAAGGGAACCCTCCTACACAGTTGGTGGGATTGCAAATTGGTACAGCTGCTATGGAAAAGTCTGGAGGTTTCTCAAAAAATTAAAAATGGATATACCTTTTGACCCAGCAATTGCACTTTTGGGTATTTATCCAAGGAAAACCCAAACAACAATTGGTAAAGATCTATGCACTCCAATATTCATGACAGCACAATTTACAATAGCCAAGATATGAAAGCAACGTGAACGGCCATCAACAGATCACTGGATAAAGAAGTTATGCTTCATATATACAATGGAATATTATTCAGCCATTAAAAAAATGAAATCCTACCATTTGCAACAACAGGGATGGACCTAGAGGTTATTATGCTGAGTGAAGTAAGTCAGAGAAAGATAAATACATATGATTTCACTTATATGGGGAATCTAAAGATCAAAAAGAACTAATCAAAAACAGATTCGCAAATATAGAGAACAACCTGGTGACGACCAGAAAGGAGGAGGTTGGGAGGCTGGGAGAATGAGGTGAAGGGTTAAAGAAGTACAAATTAGAGGTTGATAGATGGTCACAGGGATGGGGAGCACAGCATAGGGAATGCAGTTAGCATTAATGTAATGGCTAGGTGGAGAGCCAGAGGAGAGAAAGAGTAATTAGGGGGATCGTTTCATAAACTATATAAATGTCTAACTAATGTACTGTTTATTTAAAATAAAAATAAACAAATAAACAAACAAACATACATGGACTGGGACCAGATGATCTATAGCAGCTGTCCCCAACCTTTTTTGGCACAAGGGATGGGTGATCCTATGAGAATCTAATGCCTGATGATCTGAGGTGGAGCTGAGGCGGTGATGCTAGCCCTGGGGAGCGGCTGTAAATACAGATTAAGTTTCCTCACTTGCCCACCACTCACCTCCTGCTGTGCGACCCGGTTTCTAATAGGCCACGGTTCTGGTCCACAGCCCAGGGGTTGGGGACCCCTGATGTATAGGGTCTTTTCCGGCCCTTGAAATTCTACAACTAGGTCTGTGTCCAGCAGGAGATGAAACAAAATAACTAAGACATGCATCTGAACTAATTTTCCAATGCATATATTCTTTATTGTTTTCATTTTCTAGAATCCAGAGAGAGACTGGAAATATTTCCACTACCTACCCAAAAACAAAGTGGTAAGCAGTCCTAAATTACAAATCACCAGAAGACAAAACAGAAACCGTATGTTCTGGTTCTTTCTAAATTTCTTGTTGCCCTTCTTCCCATTAAAAAAGAACCCTATTAGTCCTAATTCATATTTGTAAGATTTAATTCACTCATGATTGCCACCACTGCCTGACCTGTCATATACCTGTCGTTTGTTCCTAATTAACAAGTCAAAAACAACAAAGGAGAGTATTAGAGACCTTCATTCTCAAATATCTAACATAACTGAAAAAAGGAACACTAAAGAAATAACTGGAGAAAACAGTTTTCACCCTCTATAGCATAAAATGCTCTTATGATTTCCTCACATTCAAGTCAAAGCCCAAATTAATGTTAAAAGTTGGCAACAGCCTTGTGTCACAGGATCAACATAATTCAATTGGGGCTGACTTCCAAAACGTGACCAAATAATCTAGTGAGTAATTTAATTGCTATGCAGTACCCAAGAAGTACAGACGCTTGACATCCGTAAAGCTCCAAATGGCAGAGAGCAAACGCTTGCCAGCTCAGGGCCAAGTTGGAAGAAAGCCCAGTTGCTCACCTCCACAATCCCGTGGCTGATGGTGCCATACTGTCTCTTCCTCAGCATCACCAGGCTGACGACTATGACCGTAGCAATGGCCACTGCAATGACCAACAGGCCAATGAGGGCGCTGCTGCTCAGACTGAAGTCCTCCCGCAATGGCCCCACAGATTCCTAAAAAAACAAAGCAGATGTGTGACAAAGTCCCAGTGACCATTTGCACAGCATGAGAAATAGCAACTGACCAACAAGCAATTCAATGAGGGCAATGCTCCTTTAGTCGTGTCTCTAAAACCTGAGGGAGCTCCAGAAGCTTGCTTTCCAGGTAAGCATCCATATGGGGAGATCCCCACTTTTTTCCAGTCTCCAAAAGTATGGAAAAATGAGGATGAAGGCTCTTAATAAGTTAACACACCAAGCATCTCTCCCATTATCTACTTGAACTGAGAAGGTGGGAAAGAGAAATAGCTCAGATGGACATAAAACCTGGCATTAGGTTCTGGAGCTAAACACATACCGGCTCTTCCTCAAGGCCTCCAACTCTCTCAGAATTGAAAATCATTTCCTTAACATCCAGAGTCTCATCAATGACCTGAAACGACATGAAAATGCCAGTAACTGGGAGGAAAGAGAAATTTAGTGTAAATATAACTCCATTTACTATTTGGTGAAGGGAAGCAGATACCTAATGAACACTTACTAACCAATCAGTCTGTCAGATTCATCTAAATCCACTCACCAAACCTCTACAAGAAGGAGCAAGTGTGGATGCAAGATTATTGTATAGCAGCTGGTCCTTTAAGGACCTTTACCTCCATTTACCTTTTGGTAACTGTTGTGGAGACATATTTCAGGACAGATTACCAAGAAGCCAGGATGAAATATCAAACTCAGTTAAAGATAATCCAGAAATATAAGTGATAGAAAATATTAGAAGAATAATTAATAGGAAGTAGAAACCTAAGGCAGTACAGGAACCAAACCCAACTCTACTCCATTTTTGTTATGAAATCTCTACTCACTCGAAAAGGGCCTCTGATATTTTATTCATCTGTTTAGTTAAACATACATTTTCCCACTGTATAGCAAGAGATGAGCTACTGTTGAAAAACAATTTTTGATTCCTTCTCATACCCAGACACTAAACAATACAGCAAACCTGTGAGAGCAGCTGGAGCCTACCCATTTTCTACCAGATAGAAAACGCACACATGGCAGTTCATCTGGAAAGCATCTAAAACAATGCCTCTCACTTTACTTATTCTCAAAATTAAAACAAAGCATGGCAGAAGAGAGAAATAGCTCACCATATTTTCATCCACTTCATTCTTACTGTTAATCACCTTCTCCTCAGCACCTATCAGTCCTCCATCCTGCTCTCCCACTCCAGAGCCTGTGTGGAGAAAGATCACAGCTTAGTTTCCCAGGATGGTCTGACCTCATGCTTCTCACAGAAGCAGCCAACTCCTTCCTGAGAGCAGGGAGCCCCCGCTGAACACCTCCCCCTGTGACTTAATAGACTACTTGGTTCTTATTTTTGAGGTCGCACAGTACCTCATAAGGATGAATGAAACAGGTATTTTTCAGAGGGCCGATGGGAATAATGAAGAGACAGTGCTTACATGTATCCAAATTGGAAAGAAGGCAAGCCTTTAGAAGAGAATACTTATTTTAAGAGAAATAGAAGCTGAGTCCAAAGGCATCCTCGCACGGAACATATGTAATGCCCTATGTGTCATTACCGAGCACCACCCATTATTATCCCACAACTTGCTCCTTCAACACCTGGGGTTCCCTCTGAATGAAACAACTCTCATACAAACAATGAATTTGCATGTTTGCCGTGAGCATCATATTTTATCCCACTGGCAATTTCTGCCTGAAATATCTTCCCTGACTTTAAACCCTTCCTAATTGTCCTTCAAGCTGCAGCTCCTCTTGGTAAACATTCCCAGGTTATAGCACTTAAAATCACTGTAATTACTGATTTTCTCCTGTGTCTCCCAATAGGCTGTGACTCTCTCAGGACAAAGGTCACAGACGGTTATTACAGAATGAACAGGAAGGAAGCATCGCATAAACAAGCAGAATCCTAACACCAGGGTGGAAGGCACCTTTCTATAAACAGAGCAAGAATAGCAACACTCGTCTTGTCAAGGTCAGACATGGCCTAAGCCAACGTCACTTGTGCGTGGCACTCCAAATGATATCTAAAGATGCAGCATGACTGAAGGCAGCACAAACCCAGCGAGAGGAAAAATGAAGAGCAATTCTCTTTATTTTTAGCTCCAAAGCATGTGATTTCTAGCTATCCTAAGAGTTCCTTATTGCTAATAATACATACAGTTCTATAGTGACATCTATGATTAGCTTCTTTTATAAATAGATC